AACTCCCAGGCCTCCTACCTCAGGCTTCCAGACTGCTGGGATTACAGGTGTCCACCATTATACTAGGTTCATTTTTTAAAGGCATATATAAAAGGTGTGCCCATTTATTTTTGTTTTTAGTTGACAGATGAATTTTGGCACCAAAACACCTGGTGTTAAAAATATTTTCCCACTGCTATCTACAAAACACTCTCACTTTAACATCTGCTTCTTTTAAAACAATGTTGGTTACTTTCATATTCATTGTTAAAGATCATCTAAATAGATCAAATTTACTTCAAAAATTTACTGTTTAGCACATCCCTGAGATCATGAAACTTGGCCCTGTCTTCTTATAAAAGAGAGACATGAGGAGAGCAAGTCCCCAAAGTACCAGGCCCAAACTTAGACCCCTCTGAAAGGTTTATCATCACTCCTGTCTCATCGTCCGTGTTTTAAAGTTGTTGTTGAAAGGCTTTGTTCTCACAAAGCATTGTCAGCATCTGAAGCATGTGGTCAGGGATGCTCTATAGATTAGGGAGGCTCCATGGGGACACCCTGGTCTCCAATCTCCCCTGGGAATTCTGCCAAGCCAGATAGACATCTGGCTAGTAGAAGCTCTGAGGTGGGGAGCTCATCCCATCAAGAGCTGAGGTGAGCTGAGAGACAAAGCTGGAGTGCCAGGGTCAGAGCACTGAAATGAAGGTCATGAGCCTTATCCACCACTGCCAGGGCAGAGGCAAGAGTCTGAAGGTGGAAATCATGCCAACTCCCTGGTTTGCTCCCTTGCCCCACAGAACAGTGCAGGCTCTAGGTCAGAGAATCAGCACAGACAGACAGGGGCCTTCTCAAGGTTGGGGGACCCTGATAAAAGAGCTCTGGCAGCTTTATGGTCCCTCATGTGGAAGAGGGCAAGGGGAGGGCTTAGAGGCAAACCCCAGGTCCTGGGTGCCAGTAGGACAATGTCCTTAGGGTTCTCTTCTCCTCCTATGAGGAGGCCTCAACAGAAGCAACTTGAGAGGATCTCGGTCTCAAGCCTCAGATGGCGAGGCCCAATGTGAAGGTACTGCCCTTCCTAGGACCATAGCTGACCGCATGGGCCTAAGTCCTGATTGCTGTGCCCTCCTGGGCTGCCATGCACCCAGCTTTGTGGGGAGTGCAGCTGCCCAGGAGAATGGTCAGGCACAGCCTTTGTAACTGCCTGTGGCCAGCCTGAAAAATCACCCAGATTTTTAATCAAGGGTCAGACTCCAGTATCGATGTGTGTGCTATGTCCAGGACAACTGCTCTCTCATTCATTGTTTTAGATGTGTTAAATCATGTGGACATCCTGTCCTGACCTTCCCTTTCTGGGGGTGCTGGCCTCCCATAACCATCATTACCATGGAGCCCAGGCAGGGGCCCGGGCTCCAGGCATGAGACTGGCTCCCCAGTGCTTCTCCCATCCCAGGTGGTGGGGCTTACAGAATGGCAGGAACAGATGTGTGTTGCTGTTCCAGTGTCCCTCCTGGCCCTTGAGTGCCTCATGTTGTAGGGGTGAAATTCAAGAGCCCATGGAGGGAAGCTTCTTCAGGGCTGGTTCCAGGGGCTCGGGGGTTGGGCAGGATCTGAGCGCTGGAGGGGTGAGGGGCCTTGCTTGGTGGCCTGATGGGCTTTGCACTTCTCCACCCCTTCTCACCCTCTCCCCTTTCAGTAGGAGTCTATGGCTCCTTTGATATGCGACACCTTTCCTGGTCTTTCTGAGGATAGCCTTTCTTGACTAGCTCCCCTAAGGACTTTCCTTTGGGCTTTGCTCTGAGAGGCCCTGAGTGGGGCACACACTGAAATCCTGTGGATACAGGCATCCTGAGTGGGTGGGACCACACTGGATAAGAAGCATTTGCGTAGGGCCTCAAAGTGTATTGGGCCTCTTTTTTGTTTTCTTTTTTCCTCTCTCTCTGTCTCTTTCTCTGTCTCTGTCTCTGTCTCTCTCCCCACCTCCTCTGTCCCACCTCCTCTGTCTCTGGTACTGGGAACTGAGGCCAGGGCCACATCCTCAGCGCTTTTTCAATTTTTATTTTGAGTCAGGCTCTTACTATATAGCTAAAATGTCCTCCTGGGCTCAAACTTGTGATCCTTATTTCCAAGGCTGCTCCCTTATTTTGACACCTTCCTCTCCAGTCTGCTTGGCGTCCTGCGGTAATGCATGCGGTAATGCATGCAGACACTGAATGTCGGCACAGTTTGTAACAGGTCACACCTATGGTGGGAGTGGCAAAGTGAATATGGGAAATTTATGGGCACTCTGTTCTTCCATTCCCTGGAAGAAGAGTAGGAAGGCTATTTGTGACAGAGGAAGTGTTTATTTTGTGTCACCTCATGAAAAGTGTGTGCAGTGTGAGTGTGATCATGATACATAACAATTCTAACTGACCCTGCTGCCAGAAAATTACAAACAGAAGATCTACAGTGTTCAGGAAGGGGCGGCTTAGGAGTATTTCCTCACACGTATTTATTCTATTTTATCAGTTTTCTAGTGTATTTTTATTAAAATGATATATTTTGAATAGTGCTTATTTTTTTCTGACTTTACGTCTGTATACAAAAACAAGATTCTGCTATACACCTACTAGAATGGACAAAACCCACTATCCTTGATGGCACTAAACACTACCGAGTATGTGGAATAGCCAGAATTCTCATTCACCGCTGATGGGTATACGGCATGGGATACCCACTTGGGAATACAGTCTGACAGTTTCTTAAAAGCTAAATATACTCTTACCATATTATCCAGTAGTCACGCGCCTTGGTGTTTCTCCAAGAGTTGAAAACTTATGTGCACGTTAAAATCTGCACAAGGTTGTTTGTAGCAGCTTTATTCATAATTGCCAAAACTTGAAATCAACCAAGATGTCCTTCCTTAGGTGAATGGATGCATTGTGTACATTCTTATAATGAAATATTATTCAGCAATAAAAAGAAATGAGCTATCAAGCCATAAAGACACTTGAAGAAAACTTAAATGCATATTGCTAAGTGGGAGAAGTAAATGTGAAAGGCTACATAACATTTGGTTCCAATTATATGACATTCTGCAAAAGGCAAAACTGTAGCCCCAATAAGAATATTAGTAGGTGCCAGGGGCTGGGAGAGGAGAATGAAGAGGTGGCATGCAGGATATTTCTAAGGCAAGTGAAATTGTCCTGTTGATACCATAATGGCAGATGTGTGTCATTGTACATTTGTCAAAAGCCATGGAATTTACAACACCAACAGTAAACTCTGTTGAAAACTGTGGGCTTTAATAATAATGTGTCACTGTGAGCTCATCAGATGTGACAAACATACCACACCAGGCAAGGTGTTAATAATAAGGGAACTGGGGATGGGACCATGTAAGGGAACCTTATATTTTCTGCTCAGTTTTTCTATAAATGTAAGAGTACTTGATCAAAAAAATTAAAAATCTGATTAAATCTTGACTAAAAGTTAAAAATTATTTTTAAAAATCTGTATATGCCCCATAGTAGTGATTTTGGAAAATACAGAAAGACAGGAAATAGAGAAAATCAACTGTTATTCTGCCACCTTGATATGTTCACATTCAAGTTGTCCTTTCACTGTTTACATGCATTTTTTAAAACGCATCTGACACCATAGTATTAAATACCTCCTAGATGTCTCCAAGTTCTGTTTCCCATCTGGATCCTTCCTTGAGATCCACATTCAGTAAGTCCTGTCATGGCTTCATCCAGATCTGAGCCCTATTTCCTGCCTGTCTGTTCTCCAAAAGCAGCCCAGAGGAGTTTGTCCCCACGAATGGCAGAGCCGCCTGCCCTACCAGTCTGCACACTGCACCCCCGCTCATGGCCTGCCTCACCCATCACAGGTACATCTGTGTCCACCTACATGGCATGGCTGTTCCCTGACAGACCTCACTGCCTTGTATCTCCCCTTATCCTTCCCCTTGTCTACTCCACTCCGGCCTCCTCAGTCTCCTTGAAGCTCCAGGGATGCACAGGCCAGGTTTCTGCTACAGGGCCTTTGTGCTTTCTGCTGCTTCTTCCTAGACCTCTTCAACCGGGTGCCAGCACCAGTCCACTCCTCGCCTCAGGCAGACTTTATCTTGTGTCTCCTTCCCAGTGGAGACTTTCCTCACCACCCCAAACCGAGACCCCCTTGCCAGCTCTTGAATCCTCTTCTCTGATTTGTGCTCATCAACCCATAATGTAAAATCAGCAAATAAAAATATGGATACTGTGCGCCCTTCCTTCTGGGGGGTACATTTCAGAAGGCAGCCTTTCTAACTGGCCCACGGCTCTCTCCCTAAGACATGGGACATATTTGACACCCAAATAAATGCTTGTCAGCTAAATAAAGATGAGTTGACTGAATGACTAAGGTGCAAACACTTAAATGTTTTTATGATCTGCTTTATTAATATCTTGTGAGTCACCTGCATGGCTTGATTTCAGCTTTGGAGTCTGAATCCTTATACGGGACTCCTCACATTGAGATGGGTGTCATTTTCTCCACTGGGATCGGTGGTCTACTGCATCCTTCAGTGATAAGCTAAACCTGTGTGCTATGGAAATCCCACAGCCACCCATTCCTGCAAATTCTCCCTCCTATTCTGTGTCCCTCACTTGGCTGACCTCAACAACTCTTCCCAGTAAAGCACACTGGTCACACTCACTTACGAAGATGTGTCACTCATGTACTGCAACAAAGTTTTCTCTGTTCTCTTTAAGGCACACATGTCTTGCTCTTCCCCTCATGACTATCAGCTTTGTGGTACCCTGAGCGTCACATAGTGATGTATGTGTGTGCCAGGGGCACAGTCCATGCTTTGATAGCTTGAGAACTCATCAGAACCATTCATTCTGGAATGACGGCACACATGGTGGGCTTCCTTTAAAGGGAGATGGTGCTACTCTTGCTTGGTTTCCAGGTTCTGGTATCTTGACCTAGTAAGGTGGATATCTATCACCTCTAGACGTTGTTTTGTCACATGCTAACTTTGTGTCACCCTTTCACAGGTGGTTGCCACAGCAGCCTTAAGCCGATCAGCAACAGTCCCACCATTGCCATCGCTGCTGCTGCAGCCGCTGCCGCTGCTGCCATGGTCTCTGTGGACCCCGAGGGACTCCGGAGCCCAGCCCCCTCCAGTGTGCAGCCATGCCATTTCCTGACATTGGCACCCATCAAAATACCCTTGCGGACGACCCCCTTCTCAGGTAAATTCAAAGTGCTGTCCCTGCAGACTGTATGTACTTCCCACACTCAATAGCGTGTGATGCCAAATAATACATATGTAATTTCATCCAGAGCCAGACCTTGTTAAACCCACCCTGTGTTTGCACCTGTGTGTGTGTGTGTATGTGTATGTGTGTAAGTACTACTTCCTTAAAAATTCTTCAGAGGGGTTGTATAAGAACCTCTAGTGACTGTGCTGAGACTGTTGAAATTTTCTTGTGTGGAATGAGTTAGGGAACAAGGGTATCCACCAGACAAGCCTCAGATGTCTGAGCCCGTGATGCATCGAGGCAGATTTGGAGTTGCATGTAGCCTCCCTGAGCCCTGCCTGGCATTGTCAGATGGCTGTTCTAAAGTGGGGAGGCCACCTTCAAGGGCTGACTATGAGATGTGATCATCCCAGAGCCATTGGAGCTGCTTTCCCAGGGCAGGAGGGGCTGGCAAACATTCTTGCATTGTGAGAGGAGCAGAACTGTTGATGAGGGATTCAGGAGGGAGAAGAAGGTAGAGTCCTGGACTGGATCTGTTGTGTCTACTGCCACGTGTCTGTCTGTTTACTGGAATCAGTGTGCTGTGTGTCCCAGCCATCCTGTGCACTGTTGTCTACTTCAAATGCAGCAATAGTGATAGTCATTTCCAAGGACGTGCAGTAAATCCTTCATTCTTATGAGTTTGTGCTATTGTTTTCATTTTACTTGTTCATGTGATATGACTATTATCTTCTGTGGGAGACAGTATTAATTTAGTGAAATCCTAAATCTGAAAATCCAGAATCTGAAATGCTTTAAAATCTGTACTCTTTTGAGCTCTAACATGACATCACAAGTGGAAAATTCTACACTATAAAACTTTCTTTCTTGAAGATTTTTAAAAAATATTATATAAATTATCTCTATAATATGTATATAATGTGTCCATGAGACATAAATAAATTTCATGTTTAGAGTTAGGTCTTATACTCAAAGCGCCTAATTGTGTATCTGCAAATATTGAAGAATTTGAAACAATCTGAAATCCAGAACACTCCTGCTCCAAAACATTGTGGTTAAGGGATACTCAACCTGTATAATTAATTGTTAGATTCTCTGTAACAGTAAACTTATCATTAAATTGTCACACACACACACACACACACACACAAAGACAACCTAGTTTAATACTTTCCAATACTTCAGAGTGCTTTTGGTTTATTGAGTTTTTTTCTGGATAATCAAATGTGCTTTTTCAACTGGACCTTTGGCATTCTGTATTCCTACAGTGGTTTGCTAAATTAGTTGATCAGTAGGATACTGTGTTCTCAAGAACAAAATCTTATTTCTGTTTCCACATGTCAATGTACATGTACATACAGTGAGGAAATAATGCACATGGATAATGACAATCTCTGTACAGGACCCATATTTACAGCTGTGTCAAGATGTTTATTGAAATCTACCAGTCCAATGCTATTTATTAAAGCTGATGCTATTCAATGAAATTCATCTTAAAACATAAAACTGTGTACCTCAGGATGGTTTTGTTTTCCACACTCTTATATGATTTATGAAATCCCACAAGAATTAGGCACCTTTTCAGGTTTGCAATTCGTTAAGGCTCTGCATTCAAGTCAATAGTCCTGTGCACTCAGTGAGAAAGGCAAGTATCAACATGTAGGCCTTGATGGTGCCATTGGCATGGATTCATGATCTTAAGAACCAAGCTCTGGAAGAGATAAAACAGGTTGAAGTTGGAATGCTGTTGGGGCTGGCTCAGGACCAGTGACCTCATCTAAGGTAGGTTCAGGATCTACTGGTCGATGCACTCCTGCCAGGAGTGCCCTAAGTGAAGTGTTCTTTGGGAAGTTAGATTACCAGGCAGCGTTGTCCCAGGTGTCTCCTCTCCATGTATGCAGTGCATAAGGACAGGATGGTTATGCTCATGATGCAGACTTTCATCCCATTCCCTTGCGTACTTTTAGAAAGCCAAGACTTGAAGGAACAGGAGAGATGGACAGCTCCTTTCCCATCAGGGCTGTTCAAGGCTGATTCTAAAATACTTTCAGTCACCAGTCACATGAGTGAGATTGAGGAGTTGTCTGTACTGATGAGCAGTTCACTAGAAAATTCCTGACACCCCTTAACATAGACGAACCAGGAGAAGACAAGAAAATGATAGAGTGTCCTTAAGGAGCTAACTAGTAGGGGGAATGGAGGGGAAGAAACAGAACAGTGCCAGCAGCCAAATATTGGCAGGCTTTGCAGACAGAAAATGCAGGTCGTGTGAAGTTTGCTCCCTATGCAAGTGATGCTGTAAAAGTCTCTGACCTTTGATGGAGCTACCAGTGAGCAATCTTATTTTTCATTTGAAGATATTTATCCCCAGATAAGTGGACATGGCTATTTGATTTGCATCCTTGAGTTGGTGATAAAAACCAAATGGCCTTAGAGAATCCAAATAGTTTGAGTTAAATCTCCCCACCTCCAGCCTCTTTGGCAGTGGTTGGGGATTGCTGTGGCAGCATGAGAGGTTGCTCCTAGGATCTCATGGATAGGGCTGGGGAGGCTGCCTCACATCCTACAACCCCTAGGACAGCCCCATGGTAAAAATTGTTTCAAAAGGTTAGTTAGTGCTCATATCAGGAGAACAATGCCACTTAACAAATTTCGAGATCCCCTTGTGAGGGCTCAGAGAAGCTCCTCTGGGAAAATTCATGCTCTATTAGCTGCGAGACTCTGGAGGAAATAGGCTCTGTTGGAAAGGAGGCAGAGCCAGAAGAATTACACTTAATTATGTGCATGGTTTGCAGTTTCAAGCAAGTTACCAGAGAGTATTTAAAGAGACCCACAAGCCATTCTACATTTAGCTGTAAACTAGATTTCCTCCCTCATAGTGCTGTCAGCACGGCCTTCCCTCTGCTGCTTGTTCTTCTGCAGGCCAGGCACCCACTGGCCTTGCACCCATGGCAGTCTTTTCACACAGCTGTACCTCTCCCGGGCTGTCTTTCTTTCCTGCTGCCTGAACAATGCACTCGTAGGCTGAGCTGAACACAGCCATGTCCCCATACAAGGGACCATGAACTCGGTGCTGAGATGAGCAGCACTGCTGTGCTAGCCACATAATTTCTAATGCTGCTCCTTACCTGTCTGCTTCTGAATCAGAGCATGAGGCACAAGGACAGTTTAGGTGGATGGCCACGTGTACTTGGAGCTGTGCTGCCCTTTGTGCTGACAGTGTGAGCTGGGACAGCTGGAGGGAGCCATCGAAGAGGCTGCCAGAGTAGTATCTCTTTGCTATTGTTGTCTGCAAGCAGGTGTTAGTGAAATAGTTCACTCTATTTCTTCCTGTTTCTTTATATCTTAGGGCTTAAGGTTGTTGAGAAACATCTTCCGGGCAAAGGTGTTTTTTACTTAGTGTTTATGGAGAACATCCTGTTTATAAAGGGCAGGATGAAAGGCAAGCAGAAGGTCTTAGGAAGAGAGCTGAAATACCTCCCTGGATATCCTGAGGATCAAGTCACCCCAGCCTGCAGCAGCAGCTGGTCCACTATTTTGGTCAGACCTTGTGCCAGGGTGGCAAGTGTTTTCTGTGAAGATACTGATGTGCTAACAGAACTCTGGTGCTCACCCCATTGGATGGAATAAATGGAGGGATTAGTCTTAAAAAACAATGGTATTTATTTTAAAAACTTGGCTCACCATTTCTTATGCATTCAAGTGAGAAAGGTGAAATATGAGTGAGTAGTTATGGTCTCTAGTAGCACAAATTACTATCAAATACAAATATTAAAAAGGACCATCTGCCTTGGAGACCATTTGCCACCTGTTCTCTTGCTTCCGGAACTACTTAATGGTTTAAATTTAACATGTTGTCCTGCCACAGAACAGCTGGGGAGTGACTATTTTCTTTTTCTACCAGTAACTTGCCAGCCAAACCGCGTAACAAGTCAGAGAAGTCTCCAAGCCAGAACGCTACCACCAGGCCTTTTCATGTGGCTGCTGGCTTTCCTCATTAGCAGAATCTGCAGATGCTAAGACAGGTTCTATGACAACAATGATCCAGTCATTTGGGGATAAATTCTTTCTTTTTAAAAAATCTCAGAATTATTTTCTCCTCTGCTATAATCAAAAAATGTCATAATACATAGTAACATTTTAGAGCTTTCCAGGGACAAAAATATTCTAACACTGTAATAACATAATTACTTACACTCCAAAATGTTGGAAATTCTGCGGGCTCCTGTGAGAAAGACAGGCATTTCTGATAGGAGGGATTGTGCTGCCTTTAGTAGAAAAATTGGTTGGTATAAACCAACCAATAAACAAAACCTTGGTGTAGTTTATTACCTGTGATAAGTGAGCTTCTATTAAGAATGCAACTGCAAATACACAAGCTGACAGTTTTACATTTAGCCACGTTGGGGGCAGATTTGTCTACACTATTAAGATCCAAAAATGAGATCTGGCTTCACACTGAGTCTTTTCTATCAGTGAGGTGTTGGTCACCCACCTAGGAAAGGGTGTTTTTGTGACCTCATATCCCCAGAAGCCTCCCATCCCTTCTCCCTTCCCTGAGAAATGGCAGGCAATTTATCAACATTAGCTGTCTATACTGTTAGCTCTAGTCCACTTTTTCTTTTTTTTAAGAAAAACTGGAAATACATATCCGCAAAGCACGTATATGATTATGTGGAGTGCAAGGAATGTTAATGCAACAGACACCCAAACGTCTCCCTCTGTGAGAAGAAAGTACACATTTCTGGTCCCCTTCCCTCTGGGCAACCTTGCTCTTCCTTATCCCAGAGGTAACTGCACCCCTGGACGTGTGCCAGTCATTCTGTTGTTGCTTTTTAAAATTATGTTTACATATTTACAAGGTACTGCGGAGTTTGAGCTTCTTTCAATTTTGCATAAACAAAACCGTGGTCATGAATTCTTGGGCGACTGTCTTTCTGCTAGGAAGTATTCTCCTTTGTGTTGCTGCTCTGAGGCTGGCAGCTGCAGCA